ATAACTGTAATTTTGTTTGGGGCACCTATTCCTTTGTGTGTGCCAATGGAACGAGCTGGTTCAGCGATATCGATCAGTGTTAATGGTCTTAAACCATTTTCACAGAAACATATTGTGATATTTGGACTGAAAGGGCTTTTATTCTTTTTCTTCCTAAAAAGTTGGTTGTACACAGAGAATGCTGAGAGATCAGACTTCTGCTTTTGCTCAATTTGTTATAATTTCTACCTAGATCAAAAGGATTTTATGCCTAATTTAATACATTCTTTTGAACATTTTTGCTCCCCAGCCCCTGTATTACATTGCTCCAGCATGTCTCTCCTTCACCAGTGAAGGACCTAGTGATTTCCAGCCTAAATTTATTCATGGCCAGTTTATACCCATTTGTTCTTGTGTCAACATTGTCCTTTAGTTTAAATTGCTCCTTTGCCTTCCTGGTGTTTATCCTCCTGATGTATTTATAGACAGCAATCATATCTGCTATCAGCCTTCATTTTGCTAGACTAAACAAGCCAAGCTCTTCTAGGCTCTCCTCCGGTGATGGGCTCTTCACTGCCGGCACCTGGTCGGATCTGGGTTGCTCAGCAGTGAATACAAGGGACCTGGATTGTGCACAGCATCCCAATGAGCCCTTGGTGCTTGGCACTGGGAATCAATATTGCCCTATCTGCAATGCTAGTACTGCACGCCATACGTTTGCCAACAGCATTTGTGTCTTGCTCAGTGTCAGGGAGCTGGTGGGACACGGTGCCAGTCCTCCTTGCTCGTGTCCAATAAACCTGCTTCCAGAAAAGTTTTGTTATTGGTCCCTTGCTGCATTATCTTGTATTTTGTACTATTAAATGGCATGATGTTTCTGTTATTTAATTCTGAGGTTACCCTTCTTTCAAGCTGTTACTTCTCTCTGTACAAAGCACTGCTGTCTTTTTAGCCAAGCCTTCATCAACTTCCCATTAACCGGCTTAACCAATTTCTTCAATTCCCATCTTCTGGAATTTAGCTGATGTATTTCTTTGTGGCACTGTATCAGATAATTGGCAGAAGAGCAGACAGATTAGATCTGCCACAGTTCCTTTAATTATTCTTTCTTTCATAATTTTTTCCTTCAAAAGCCCTTCTTAGTTTTTAGGTCAGGCTAAAAGCTCTGCGCTTATCAAGATGAGGTTTTTTCCCTTGGCTTAAGTAGAAGCAGCACATTTACTTTCCACTAGCGTGAAGATTTGTTAGATTTATTGGAAATACTGGCCAGTGGACCTCCCAGAGACTTCACAGGGGCTGGGTTTTCAGTCTAGACCCCTTCGGGGCAGAGGCTCATTTCTTTAGTTCCACAGCATCACCATCAGAGCAAACATATACTAACTGTTTCATTTCTGGGTTAGGACCATTTTGTGTTACCGCTATGCTGCAGTTTCTGCCCTGTGCTGTTTAAAATGTCATTTTTTTAAAGAAAGAGAAGATGAGAATTATTCTGTATTATCAAAATGCCATCAAGAAAACGTCTCTCGTGCTTGGAGGCATGGGGCTGCCTTTTTTTTTTTTTTTAATAGTTGTAACAATAATAATAATATTAGGACAACAAACTAAGATGCCCCTGGAGATGTTGTGACAAATTGGAAGGACATGTTGAAATTAAAATTGATTGAATAGTTCAATAAAATCAGCTTAATGCACAAAAGCAAAAAGGTTAGCTACAGAAAAACAAAAAATCAGTAGTTTGTTATCTACTGGGGCCAATCTTAGTGAAGATTGAATTAGTTATAAACTAAAACCAGGTACTTGAAAGCACCACCCTTGTGTGCCCACGCTGGAGCCTTTTGGATGGAAGTGGATGTGGACGGTAACCCAGTGCCTGAAGGTTGGACAAATCTCAGGCTTCTTCCATTTACATGTGTTTGTGCTTTATATGACTTTACGTGACATCCAAGCCATTCTCCATTTTGATTGTACTTTTGCTCTAAACACAGTAGTGATGTCTTCAGCTTACGGAAATCGGAAATTCAGCGCTGTCTCGAAAGTTTCCACCAGCAGCTCACCTCTCACACATCCCTGATGGCTGCAGCTGCCTGTGGTATCCTGAGGTACAGCACCCGTCTCAAACGGGTCCATTCCCATAACAATCCTACCTGATCTCTCAAACCATTTGAGATCTGCTGCACTTCCATGCATTTTCTCACTAGGCTTGGACTCCCTGCGTGTTCTAGCACAGGTGCAGTGCTCCTTGCCTTCCTCCTCTCTTCCCATCCTGATGTACCAGCTCTTAGTGGCTGATACATTTGTACGTTGCTAAATTCTGGGTATTTTTATTTTTAGCTTTGTATTATCTGATTGAGATAATCTTTCTTTTAAATTTCGTTAATTTAGTGTTCTGAGTTTTTGTGAGGGTTTTTATTAACATTGTGCTATGAGGCTCTGAAGGGCACTTTGTTAAATAAAAAGACTTTATTGTAAATCTGAGATTAATAAGACAGGGTCTGCGATTACACACACACACAGACGTATGTCATCAGAGTTTGTATAATTTAATAAGCAGTAAAATGGTGAAGTTAACAAAACTTTTGAGTAAGACTTTCTAGTCCCTTACCCTCTCTTGGCTGAGAGGGTTAATTTTTCCAGGGGAAGCTTAAGTTAAGAAGTGAATAAAGCAAGCTAGAAAGGAGCTGTGAAGGTGGCGGGAGGTTTGCAGGCTGGGTCCCGTTATGAGTAAGTGCAGTGGAGACTGAGCATGACCTTCCCCAAGGTCTGCAGGTGGTTCTTGGAGTTCAGATTAAAGTTTGCATAACGGTGTGATGAGTTTCAGGATTGCTTTTGGCACAGCCTGTGCCATGCCCTGGCCAGAGACACGCTGCTCTGGTGGGCACACCTGGGAGGGTGCCCCAGGAGCCCCGCAGCTCCAAAGAGGTCAGTCTGCAAACATGGTAAAAGAGAAATTAGCTGAGTTAAGAAAGAAGCACCATCACTGACCGAGGCTGTCTCATCACCCTCATGGCTGATGGAAAGGAAGGAACTTATTTCTTCCCTGTGGTCGCTGCCGAAGCACTGAAGCTGTTGCAATAACGTGCGACCATCAGATTGGAAACACTGAGTTTTGTGTCTCCATCTCACTGCGGTGAGAAGCATTAGAGGTGGCTTTGCCATTTAAATGCACTATTGAAACGGAGTCTCTCATGTGGGCCTCCAACCTGTTTTTCTAATTGATGTGGAATCTGATTGCTGCTTTTTTTTTAAATATCTCCTCTCCCTTCTATGATTTAAACCTAATTTGGCTCATAAGTTAGAGAATGCTTCTGCCAGCCTCCCAAGTTGTCTATAAGAGAGAATAAAGAAGGAAAAGCTAAATATGAAATAGAAATTACACTCGCTAATAAGGATATTTCAGCCTTACAATTACCCTGTGCTTTTACAAATGGAGTAATGAACAGCAACGTTTTGTGTGAGGAAAAACAAGGGCTAACAGTAGTTTCTCCCTCATGTTTTATTATACAGTGTAGCGAGAGATAATGAAAGTGCGTTTCCATAATGTATTCCAGTTGCAAGGTGCTGATGGGTCCCTGTGTGTGATATCTCGTCAATTTAGCAGGTTAATATCTGTCAATTAAAGTCTTGGAATCACGATAAAGCTAAAATTCTGTTATTCTAGCAACTCAGAAGAATTAAAAAAGCCAGTTACCACATGTCAAGACTGTTTATGTAGGAGTAGAGAGACCTAATTGACCTAATTCCTGCCCTTTGAAAGTCCAAAGGACGTTTGACATTTTACTCCAGCTTGTAACATCGGCACACGTACGGAGCAGCCCTTGAGTATCTGAGCTGTGTTCCGAGAGCAGGAACAATCCAACATGCAGAAGGTCTCTCCTCCCAGTGAAGTCCCTCTGCTTTGCTTTTCGTGCCCAGCGTTGTGCTGCCGTTTGGTTTTCACACCGTTTGGGCTCTCTGATCTGCCATCGGAGCTGCTTGGCCCTGTGTCCCCGCTCGTGCCTGTAATTACACCTTAAACCTGACGGAGTAGGGAGCGATGCTTAGCTTGGCCCTGAGTCACACCGAGTTGGGCCGAATCCCTCCCTGGTTCTGGGTGCGTCACCGTGCCCGTATCTCAGGAGAGGAGCTTTGCTTTTATATCTGCCTATAAAGTGCTGTGGGTGCCCCGTGCACGAGGTGTGTAGACATCAATAGTAAATTCTGCAGATGCAAATGAAAATTTATTGTCGAGGTCAGTTTTAAGATGAGGGCGCTTTCCTCAGTGTGGGCCTGTATTCATAAGTAAAGAGATATCCCAGGGAGATGTTCACACATGCAGGATCAGACGCCCTCTCCTATTTTATTCAGGTTTATTTTCCAATTGCATTGACATACAGCATCTTCTAAAAGAACTTCAATGTGTAATTTTTTATGTCTGGCTCTGTCAGTCTTTTTCTTTGAAAGCTGTGTTGTTTGGGGTGCTCAGGAGTTTAAATCAGTTGCACCGAAATTTTGTTTATTGCAGCGAGTATTTTTTTTTTATACTGGACTTAAATTCTCCTTATTTAGCAAGGTTGTGTTAAGGATTGAAACGTGGAGGGTATTTTAAGTATCAAAATGCTTTGTGGGCATCAAACTGTGTGAGCAGAACAAGCTGGAGGGCTGCCAGGCAGCGTTTCTGGCAGTTCTGGGGGTATAATGTTCTTGGTGATGTTTTCAATGAAAACACATTAGCAAAATTTTTACTAGTTTTCAGAAGACAGAAATTAAAGTTTCTGAAAATGCTTAAAAGTTAGCAAAAATGTCAGTTTCAACCAAGGATTTTTTTCTGTACGATTTTCATTTTCACGTGAAACAGGTGATATCCACCAATCTGTACAAAAAATCCCTTTAAAAAAATTTTATCTGTCTTTTTTACTACGGTTTTGAATCCAGTTAAGTTCTTAGTCTGCCTTAAGATTGCACTTGTATACGGATAATAAACTAAGGCATTTTAGAGGATGCATTTTTGTTTCTCATCTTTTCTTTTTTTTTTTTTTTTCCAGAAAGTTCAGCAGTACATAGTCATTGTTCAAGCCACAGATATGGAAGGAAATCTTAACTATGGTCTCTCGAACACGGCAACAGCAATCATTACGGTGACAGATGTGAATGACAACCCCCCTGAATTCACTACCAGCACTGTAAGTATCAATACATCAGCACAGTGATGCATGGACACACAACGTGTTTGTAATTCATGGCTGTTTATATCCGTTGTCTCTCTTAGCTGCTTTGGCAGATAGGAGGAACTTGATAGATAACTGTGAAACAAAGACTTTCGGGGGGAAGAAAGGAGGAAAAAAGGAAAAAGGAAGAGAAGAATGATTCATGAGCCAGCAAAACTATTTGGTGACCGATTTTGCTGAGGTGCTAAAGGAGCTGAAATAATGTGGCAAACAGACTATGTCTGATTGCACCAAAGAGGATAAAGTTGTTTCACAGCAATTGGCTGTAGACGTATCAGAGTTGTTATTGCTTATGAGTGAAATCCTGAGCAGTAAGAGATATTTCGGGTTTAGCAGCTCGGATATGATTTCAAGGAAGCAGTAAATACTCTAAATGGTAACAGGTATCCCGTAAAATTTGTGTTTCACTGATAGCTCTAACAGATGTATTTGTGTGTGCCAGCAGTAAATGTGTAGACATTCTTCAGTACATCTGGTTTTAATCAGTTAAAGATCTTACTTTTATTAGTACAGTATTTCTCTCTTCTGTTCTCATGTGCTTCAAGTTGCTATTACTGGGGGACAAGGGGGAAAAAAATAAGGAAATTGCAAATGACAAATTTTTAGAGCTGGTTAAGATATCTTACTTTTATTAGTACAGTATTTCTCTCTGATGATGGAGAAAATGGAGAGTTGGAAGGTGAAATGATGTGGTCTAGTTCTTTCCAGCCTTCATAATCCGTAGACTTAGAGCATCCAAAATACACGTGATAATTTTAGAAACCACAGAGCAGTACTGAGGTCTACATGCTAATAAATGAGAAATCGTTGTGTATCCACTGCCTATATTTATATGAGGGTCAACAAAGAGCAGTAAACGATGTATCTTAAACTGATATCAAATCTTTAAAAATACAGAAAGTCAAACTGTGTTTTGCTCAAGACACTGAACATCCTTTGAGGAATGTTTTTATTATTTGTACTATTCTAAATTTTCATTCCTTTTTAAAAGAGATACAAATATTTAGTCAGGTAGTACCAAAGTTTCCCCTTACTTACACCCTTACAAACTAAAAATCTGTAGCAGGACTCAGGAAGTCATGCAGAGCCCAATTCATGCCACCATGGGCTCCATGCCAGATGTGGGGTCTGGGTCCTTCCCTCCCATCGCCATCGGGACCGGGGCTTGTGGATGTGATGTGCTCAGCTCTTGAGCAGCGGCAGCATTTTCTGATGAAGTGAAATCAGAGAAAAACGAGCACCCAATATATTTCCAGATCTGGGTGTCAGCCTGCAGCCTGCGTCGCTGCTCCAGCGAGTATGGGGTGGGTTTAACAGCAGCCCATGCGCTTTGTTTCTGCTGTAGTGAATACACTGAGCTTTGTGTTGTAAAGTTGTCATTAAATAGAGCCAGAAGTGTGATACATACAGTTGTGAAGAGCCATGAAAATCTGATACAAGTCTTGGGCCGTGTGGTCCTTTGTCTTGCCATCATGGGTCTCGTGAAAATTTTATAGCGGCTGATCTTACGGAGTTTTGTGTCTCTCAGGCTATGAGACTTTTCACCACGGCAGTATGTGTGCCCCAGTGTTTGTGGTGGGGAAGGGACACCTTATTCTGCCGGGTAAATACTTCTTTAACCCACATTTGAGTGAAAAAGGAATGACATCTAGTGGCCACGTCATTTAAGCACAGGTTGTTCCAGATGACCCACGTTGCCTGATCCTTGTCTCCAAATGCAAGTTAGGAGGGGAGGTTTCAGGTGGTGGGATGAGGTTAGTCACACACCCATCGAAGTCTTCTGGAGGGCAGCGTCCCTCCACACGTGGTATATTTTAATGTCTTTCCAAAATGCTTCCCAAAGCTGAATCTGATGGAAGGTGAGATAATGGAAACTTACTTTCAGGTGAATTCTGAGTATTTAATGTCTCGAGATGTGTTAGACCTAGAAGGAATAAAAGCCATCAAGAGAGTTACCCATAGGATTGTATTAAATGGATTAGAAAATGCTACTCTTCCTCTAAGCAGGGTTGATGTGTACCATTATTTCTCTGATTTCAATCACTGAAGAAAGAGTTTTGCAAGGGCCAAAGGTCTTTACACAGTAGCAGGTATGACTTTATAAAGATTTGAAAGCCAAGGATGTTTTACAATAATATTTTCTGATTCTTTGGAAACAAATCTCTTTGATATACTCCTGGGTATAGCCAGGATGAATTTCACGTGAGTATGGAAGTATAATGTGGTTTTTCCCTGACTGACAGGGAGAACAGCATCAGGCTGATCAGTCTCTTTAAACCTGAGCTGAATCTCCTTACTGTCCTCAAATAGTCTGATCTGCATTTTAACACCTCTAAAAAATAGCAAAAATCTCTTTCCAGGAAATCTACAGCTCCTCAGAGGGTAAGAAAGCCCATGGTCTCTCTTAAATCCGGGGACTGTTTGGAGAAATACAGTATATTTTTATTTTAAATACTTCTGTGTTGAGATGCTGTTGTAAAAACAAAATAGGCTGAATAACTGAAATTGTGGTTTGCTCTCGGAAAGCTGCCAGACGGAAGGAACTCAAGCAACTGTATTCAGCATAGGCACATACAAAGGCTCACCCTTTAGAGCTCCTAAATTACCTATCATTCAGCCAGGGTGGTTTTAGACTTAATCATTTCTGGGTAAGAATGTAGCTCAGGAGGGCGCT